ATATCTTTCTACTGAATTGAAAACTTAGTTATAAGTAAAAAAGTTGCGGAAAAAACATAAGTTATAAAAAAAATATTTATACGCCGTCTCCGAAAGTTTTCGTTTTTTAAATCGTTTTATCTCAAAACTAAAAAATATGGAGATAGAACAAGATAATTCTAACGTCGCAAGATGTTTATAAAACAAACAATGACTTTGCAAACGGTAAACGACTTTTTTTGTAAAGTAGAAAATAAAAAAATTAACTAATTTCAACATTGCGCAGCAATTTAGATTTCTTTTTTTGTGTAAAAATGTTTTTGGCAAAAACCTTGAAACTTAATCGTGCCGGCTCTACTTTCAAAGATGTGCATGCATTAACATCTCCAACAATGACGACTGAACTACAATTTAAAGACTTACATTTTAAATAGCGATATAGATGACATCATGTTTTCCTAACTTGTCTATACTCTAAAAAATCGACTTGGATCTTCTTTTTACATCCGCTTATGACGAGAGAAGTTTCAGTAGACTAAAGATTATCAAAAGTTATCTGTGATCAAAAAAGACAAAACAATGTCTTTTTCGATTAAGATTAATTTTAATCAAATATGAGCTTGCTAAAAGCATGGAATTATCAATAAACCATTTTGCTTCAACCCAAACCTTTTTTTTTTTTAAACGATAATTGTTAAAAAAAGTAAACTTAGCAATCTCAAATTTTGTTTTGTGTCTGAAACGTACTTAACAGTTATGATAAATAGCACACAGTGGCGTAACTATAAATTTAGCCCCTCCCCCTCGCTAAAAAAGTAAAAGGGGCCTCTTTACTTTTTTACTTTACTTTAAGTTTTTTCAACGTTTAGAAATTCTAAACGTTATAAATTAGACTGTAACTTTTTAAAAAAAATGCCCGTAGGGATACGTGAAAAATTATAAACTCATAAAATGTATTTGATAAAACAGAAATTAGTAACACTCATATTATTATTACCAGTCATATTATTCATATGAGTAAAATTTGTAAATCTCCGCGGGGCCCTCTAAACTCCGAGCCCTCCTACCGCCTTGCGGGGTTATGCTTCCCCCTCGTTACGCCACTGATAGCACATAAAAACATTAATAAAATGTATTTATCTCAAGTGCGATTCTTGAAAAAAAATGTTTTTGAGTGTTAATATGCCGCTCCCAACCTCTGTAGCATATCCCCACTCACTCCTCTGCCCCCCCTGCCCCCCGAATAAAAACCCAGTAAAGCTCTTGAACGTTTAGAACTGATTGCTTCAAAATAATTCTTGTATCAGATATCGATGATGATTATCAGTTATATTAGAAAAAGTTTGTCTGATCTGCAAATCCACAACTCATAAACTTTATTTATGAGTTGTGGATGTTGTTCTAATGATTTTTAGGCTAGCAAATATTTATATATGTTTTCATTTATCACTTCAAGTGTTTTTGACTTTTTTTTTTTTTTTTTTTTTTTTTTTTTTTTAACATCTTCACTTCCAACAAGGCTGCAAGCAACCACTATAAGAGTTGGAAGTTACTGGAAGAGAAAAGACTAAATCTGTAGAGCAAGATAACGATTGACTGATGACTTAAAAGATTGCAAATTATATGAATCAGGAAAGCAAGATGAAGGAAGCGAATTCCAAAGAACTGATGTTCGAGGAAAAAAACTAGAAGAATAGGAGTTTTTGAAACACTTAGGAACAGTCACAGAAAAAGGATGAGACTTAATTGAATGGCGAGTAACACGAGAATGAATTTTAGTAGATGGCACAAGGGACGCTAGCTCTTTAGAGCAGTGCCCATTATAGTATTTGTAGAAAAGAGAAAGAGAAGCAACATTACGTCGATGTGACAAAGGTTGGAGATTGGCTGCCAGAGCAGGTCCAACTATGTTTACAATTCGTTTTTGCACCTTGTCTAAAAGAGAAAGAGCATCATTAGAAGATCCGCCCCAGATGTGGCAACAGTATTCCATACAGGGACGGATTTGAGATTTATAGAGATAGAGAATAGAATCTGGAGTAAGAAAGTGTCGAGCTCGATAAAGAGATGCAACCTTAGCAGATGCTAATTTTGCAATGGATTTGATATACGGTTTAAAAGAAAGATCAGAAGTAAGAGTTAATCCTAGAAGATGAATGGTAGATGACTCATCTAGTACATTACCATTCATAAATATAGGAAGATCTAAATTATTACGATAACGATTGGCCGAATAAAATTGAGTTTTATCTGAATTAAAGTTCACCAATGCTTAATGCTGTATATCCGTATTGCCAGCCTCTTTAAGATCTGTGTCAAGTCTACTATAAATATATTTGCCGACGGCTTTCAAAAAGGCTAACACAACATGGAGTTTATCAAATCTAAAGATATAATTATTACTTACGTCATTATTTACCTTCTAATGTATGGGCTTATAATGTAGTTGTTAACATAATGTTACAATCAAAAGGTGATTTAAAAGTCTCTTTCTATGCGCTTTTACTTAGCATAACAAATGATAAGCATTAACACATATGCATACTTAGCATAACATAGGATACTTTGCAGATGCGTCACTTGGATTTGGTATACTATTTAAACAGATAAAAGCTTAAGGTTTTTCTGCTACCAATATTATTTTTGAACAATCTCTACTTTATGAAGCGTACAACTACTTTCTGACATACTATGCAAACCATTTTTTTATTAACTTGAACTTTTGAACAAAGAGTTTTTGTTTTGGTTTCTAGAATGTCATAGATTTCTACTGAGTTTTTATTATCCGACTCATATCTTGCTTTTAAGGAGTGTGAAAAAAGAAAACCATTTAGGTGCTCAGCTTAAAGCCTGCTTAGGTTCCAAAAAGAGTTTCTTAATTTTATTTTGAGCAAGATGTAGTCGTACAATTTTTTATTTGGTATACTATTTATTTTAATATATTGATACATTTTGATATATTATTAGCTATACCCAAGTTTTGTTTGCTGATAGCTACCGAAGTACAAAAGTTGCTTTGACTACAGATAATGGTCAAAAGATCAAATCGCTCAAACAGGTTTAATGGGTTTGATTGGCTAGTAGGTTTGATTGACAAGTAGGCTTAATTGACTTGGTTTGATTAAATTAGCTTAGACGAATTTCCATTTTTACTTTGCCGAACCTTATAACTTTATATTTTTTGCAATTAAGTGTTATTTCCGTTACAACAAACCGTTCCTTTATTAGCACTAAAAGCAGTTATATGTTTATAGTAGCTATATATTATAAATATATAGCACTGAAACTGTTGTTTAAAATTCATGAGAATACTTTGACCCTCTAAGGCTGCTCTAACTAGTGGTATTTCTCAGAGTTTTAGACTGCTAATTTATTTTTTGTATTTTTTACACTATTAGACTCTTTAAGTGACAACCAAAAACCATCAATACAAATTTAATGTCTCTGACCGTCAATAGAGATTTAATACCTCTATTTCTACTACTGTTTTATTAAATTATAAAAAAAGAAACTTTAATCTACATTAGATAGAAGCAATGAGTCAAAGATTATTGGTTTGGCATGCCACTTTTCTCTTTAGGTTTTTTTTCATATTGTGTATCTGGGGTAACTTTACAACTATTGAAATTTTCCCAATAACCTCTGGGATACCACAATAGTTAACTTATTTGATCAATTGTTCTAAATTGTTTCTAACCTACATTAATGATTTCCCTAAGAATTTTCTTTCATCTCAATTTTGATTTTGATAAAAATAAAACTCTTACTCAGTCTTCTTGGATTATCTTGCTTATGCTGCTGGCTTATACTGCTGGCTTATACTGCTGACTTATACTGTTGGCTAATTTTAATTCTGTTTTGTTTAAATTTATTTAGTCTAAAAATAAATAAATTTATTTAGTCTAAAAATAAATAAATAAATGTTCTCAATCTTCCTAAATTCTCAACTTTTTTAAATTATAAAGACTATTTTGTCACGAATTCAAATTGTAAAAGCCCTATGTGTTTTAGTTTATCTTATACATTTTTTTTTAGAATGACATTGACTTCGAAGAGCGGGACAACTTCTTATTTTTGTAATGTTTTGACACCTATTGATTCTTTAATACTAACTATGGATGAAGGTTTTACACGCTTTCCTAGGACAAAAGGTTTTTTAGAATTTATTCTTTAGAACAAAACTATTTAGTTTCTATAGAGTTTGTATATAAATTTTATAAAATACCTAAATTGTATAAAGTCTATAAAATATTTAAGTCTGTTATATTTCTAGGCTTCTGATTTTTTCTATAGAAATCATTATAAATTTGGAATGAAATTTAAGAGGTTTTCCATTAAATACGTACGTAGGTAAAGCTTATCATTTTTTAATAATATTAACTTATATAGCAGAGAAATGTTAAATTAACTAAAAGTTTTTTTGTTTTTAATATTTTGAAAAATTTTTGTTGGTAAAAGAGGGGAAACTTTTAAGGATAAGAAGGCTGACTTTGTATTAAATATTGCTGACGTACACAGAATAGGGTCAGGGTTCGTTGAAAACATACACGTGCTTTAAAGGGGGAGGGGATCCTAAATCAGGTTTTACTGCGCACGTACTTAATGGATGCCCCTAAAGAAAAAATCTCTATAGACTTAGATTTTCTTTTTTTACATGCAGAAATTTTATAGAATACTTAAAAATTTAAAATCTAATTGAAAATAGAATGAGGTCTATAAAAAAACATATATTATGATCATAAGTTAAAAAAATTAATGCCTTTCTGAATATTTGCTGAAGAAAGACTAAAACTATATATAGTAGTTTATCAAGATTATTTTATATCCGTGTTTTTTATCTGTCAATCATAAAACAAAAATATTTTTTCAGTATGTTTAATTTATTATAATGTATCGTTGCCAGCATGAGTTTTTAGTTTGCAAGTAGAAAAATTTGTAGTAAAAATTAGTATGTAAAATTCATAAGATTGTCGCAAAACAAACACCCGCCGCAAAATCTTATCCCGAAAAAAGTTACACCCTTTGAACTATTAATTGAAAGTCTTTCAATAAACAAATTTTTTTCATAAAAAATAACTTATTATTTAATAACAAGTCTATGGTTTTTTGGTTAACCTATAAATTAAAATAATAAAATTAACCAAGTAGCTCGTTAAAACCATCATCACACATTAATGCATATTCGTCTTCGTCGAAAACGTCGTAATTTTCAAATGAGTCTGTCGGGATCTCCCACACCCTATGCTCGTCCACCTCAGCATCCCAATCTTCGACGTCAATTTCTTTTTTGGTGTCATTTTTAGACTCGCTTTTTATTGATTTATTTTGATTTATATGACTATCGATGTCATTTGAACTTTGACCTAGAACTAATTCTTCACAAATCTTCTCATTTTTGATTCAAATAGTATTTTGCGTCAGCATCGGTGTTAAACTTAGAGGTTTTTCTATTACCCATAAAGGCTCTCCGTATTCGTCGATATTAGAAACAGGAGAGGTAATGTTAAAATTTAAAGATGGTTCAATAGTAATAATCTTTTCCAACTCTTCTTCTTCGTCATCGTCATCTTCTTCATCTGATTCAGGAAAAAATGGCGCTAGATTTGTAAAAAAATAGGAAACAAATAAATTCATTTTTTTCGAGCCAAAATTAAAAAAAAAAAGTGTTGTTTTTAGTTTACTCTCGTGTGCTTTATACAAGGTGTGATGGGAAAAAAAAAGAGACGGGAGTGGTAGGAGTAAAATGGATGGGAGGGAATAAAAAGGGTGGGTGTGAATAAAAAGAATGGGTAGGAATGAAATGGGTTGATGGGTGGGAATTTAAGTACAGATCTAAGAAATGGCGGGGTTTTAATAATAGGATGGGTGGGAACTCTCTTATTTCTAATTTCAATTTATCCTCGGCCTATAATTAAAACCTCGTGAATCCAAACTAATTTTTTTTTTACAGTAGGCGCATAAAAAAATATAATTATAGTGTGACTTGCGGTCAAATGCGCATTTTTTCTACTATGGTGAGAAATTAATCAAAAGTTAATTTTCGACAAGCCGAGATTTACGATATTTTTTTATAGATCGATAATTTTTAAAGTCTTATTAGATTGATAATTTTTATTTTAATCCGTAACTGATAATACATTTTCTAAAATTTTAAGCCAGTTTACACTGATTTTTTTTCTCAGTTTTGAGATAAAATTTTTTTAATATTCTTTACAGAATTGTCAGGTTAACAAAATGTAGTAAAAAGTTTTATATTCTCTACAGAATAGTTAGACCAATAGATTTTGTGCTTGAAAATATCTATTGGAGTAGAAACAACCTATTATGAAACAACTTATTGTGGTAGAAAGAATTTATTGATCACTTTTTATGAACAAAATAAACAAATAATTAAATATTAAGTTATTATTATTTACTAATTTTAGGATGAGTACTAATATGAGGTCTGCGTTTCTCATGAAAGTGATAGTTTTAGATTTGGTGGTTATGAATACCTAATTTTTCTTAGCAACAAATTATTTTTAGTAGTTGCAGATGTATTATGTGTGCTATATACAATATAATTAGTTTATGCATTAGTATGAGGCTTGCTCTTCTTATGAGGGGGATATTTGGTTTTTACGGATACCTAACTTTATGGATGCCTAACTTGCATAGCAACAACCTATTTTGATAGTTGCAGATTTTTTACGAATGCTATATTCACTAAATTTGGTATGAGTACCAATACGAGGTCGCAAAGAAATAGGAAAATAATAAAAACAAAAAATAGTGCAATAAAACATTGACAATTTGAAATACATCAACAATTTATAAAGCATACAAACATGTATAAAATAAAAAATATAAAAAAATTTCACGGGACCCAAGGACTTTGTGTACGTACACAACCTGAAATATCATTAAAGTCAATGACTGGAAATGTTGGGCAACTAAGTACAACTCGTTCCTATTGGCATTTCAGTCATTGACTTTAATGATATTTCAGGTTGTGTATGTACACAAACTCCTTGGGTCCCATGAAATAGTTTATTTTTTACTTTTTAGTACATTTTTAAAATATTGTTTTTAAAAAGTTTTTTATATATATTTTTTTTATTATACAACAGCGATTCTATTTATTAATGCTAAACTAAAAAGCTAAAAGTTTGTTGTTTATTGTTTTTTTTTAATTAATTTTTTGAACGATTTCTTTTATTATTACTGCTGACCTCTAGTTTGTTTTGCGTGGACACCAAAAAAATAAATAAATAAACAAACTGATAAGAAAGCAAGTTAAATAAAATGTTATAATAAGAAATCATAATTTCGACAATAGAGTCGACAGCCGGAGCCTGAAGCAAATCACTAACTTTTTTGTGAATTGAGATTTTGAATTTTGAGAATTTGACCACCTGATGCTGCTGATTATTGGGTCTCATGAGCACAAAAGTTGGCATAATACATCATAGTTTGTTTTTGAACGACTGCAATAGTGTGTATAGTTTTCATAGAAATGCTTAAAATCCTTTTTTCTTGTTTCCTGTGGCTCATTAGAGAACATCCCAATAGGCAAGACCATTCTCCTCAAAACTTCATGCTCGTAAAATAATATCTTGTTCAAATTTGTGGCAATACAAATACAATGGGTAGCTCTGTGCAACAGGGACATCAACCATCTAATTACAAAAGCTCAGTATAGTAACAATGTTTACAAAAAAAAAAGTTTTTAAAAGTTAAATTTACAGTACTTTTGAAATGCATCTGCATTAATTGCATGAGCTGATGACAATGTGACATGCAACTTATTCAGCAGTAGTTCATCCAGCTTTAAAATTTCAGTCACAGTACTTTTAGATTGGAAATAATGAATAGCTGTATTTCCATCAGTGGATGTCAGAGAATCACTAGATCTGGGCACATTAATAATTAATTAAAGACAATTTTTAAAGGCATCTTGAATGCTTAAAGACAATTTTTAAAAGCACCTTGTATTTTTAAAGACATCTTGGATTCTTTTTTTGTTTGTCATCACAGATAACTTTTTTTTTGTGCTATGCGCTTGCACTTTTGGTTAACCAATTTGTAGGCAAGATAAAGACCATTATTCAAATCTATGCATGTAATGATGATAAACCATATTGTAGACCAGAATGTATTTTAAATTTTTGCTTCAGTTTTTCTATAATATTAATCTCTTTTGGTATGCTACCACACACTGACAGAATTCCAGTAAAATAACTAAAGCTTTTGTAGGAGAATATGGTGTTACCAACAAGCAAGACCTATCTGACTCAGTTTTGAGCATTTGACCTAGAAGTTGTGCATCTATTGGCCTTTCTTCTACTTTGCTTGTTTTTTGTGCCGGAATTTCAAAATTGTAATTTTAGTTTTCCCATGAAACTGGAAGTAACATGAAACTGGAAGTAACTGAGGGCAGTGGTAGTGGTATTTAATTTATCACTGCTGATACAAGACATATCCTCTTTTAGTTTGTAACTTAAAAAGCTTAAAAGTTGTTTATGAGCTTTAGAGTTAAAAATGCTTATACTATTTTCAAGTAAAAATATGTGAATATCTAATTTTGTGATCACCATGCCTGAAAATATTAAAAATAAAATAATTTTTTCATTTTTAAATTTAGCACATTTAAATAATAAAGTAAAACATTATGCCTATTCTACTATTTATTTATTACAACTTAAAATAACATCCATAACTGTGGCTAAGTTTTACCTTTTAAATTTTAATATTTAATGAAATAGCAATCAATGCTGTTGTTACGCAAAAATAATTTGGCCATAGCAACCAAATAAATACATGACTTTAATAAGAAGTGTGAATCTCATTTTAATAGACATATATAATATAGTGTACATAACACAAATAAAAAACTGTTAAAATATTAGTGTAAAAACAAATTGTTGCTATGTAAAATTAGGTATCATAGCAACCAAATTCTAATCAATGTGTAGCTTGAATATGTCTGTTTAAGATTAATAAAAATATATGTAAGGAAGTTAAAACTGGTTTTAACTACGTTCATAAAACAAAGTTAAAACTGGTTTTAACATCCTTACATGTTAAAGAACAGATTATAAACCACTCATTTGCTAACCAAAAACCAAAAAAGATGCATATTTTACATATTTTAGATGGCATATTTAAGAGATAAACTTTTATGTTATACCTATTCTAATATACATTTATTATATATATATATATATATATATATATATATATATATATATATATATATATATATATATATATATATATATATATATATATATGTAATATATATACACCTACAAGTTCTTTAATTAGATATACATATTTGTAGAACATTGTATACAATTTTTAGACATTGTATACAATTTTAATTTTTAGTTAGAAACAACTTATTGTGTTAGAAACAACTTAATGTGTTAGAAACAACTTAATAATTAAACTTAACACCTAATCCAAACTTATTATTAAACTCACATTCAGATTTTTATGAAACCCACATTATTTCAATGTGAAAAGCATATTTTACATTCAATGTTTATAAACTTATATGTATGTAATATCAGAATTCTTGTATTTGTATGTAGTAATATCAGTGTTCAATGTTTATAAAATTCAATGTTTATAAACTTGTATGAATGTAATATCAGAATTCTTCTAATTGTATGTAGCAATATCAGAATTCTTAGTGTATTTTTTGGAAACTAATTTTAACATTAGTAAGGATTGTAGAATATTTATTTAGTAACAATTGTTAAACTACAACTTTTTAAAATTAGTAATAACATCCTCTAAGATTTTAAAAACAGAAACAACATCATCTAAGGTTTAAAAACAGTAAGAATACATCAAGGTTGAAAAGTTTTAAGGAAAATATCTGAAAGATATTGTTGCTAATAACAATAATATTTTTCAGATATTGTTGCCATTGACAATAAAACTATCAGATAAACTCTAAAAAAGATTTTAACAAGAAAATTAACAAAATAAAAAACAGAAAACCAGCCAGATAAAAAAGATCTTTTATGTACTTGAACACGCAATTGAGTATATACCAAAAATTATAAATTAATTATCACTATAAAAAAATCACACCTGCAGAAGTTGGGTCTCTATCATTTCTTAACATTCCATTACTCAAACAAATAAGACTTGCTTTACAATGGACTAGCTTTTGACAAAGAGCAGCTGCCCCATTTTCAGTTACCCCAGTTCCTGAATAAGAAAGCAACCAAAAATTAGTGATGTACTGATGACAAAGGCCGATTGTGATAATAATAGGTTTTAATGTATTTATATAAGGGTATTATAATGATATTAAGGATGTAAAATATATATAAAACATGTATATATACATACATTGAACCCTATCATTAGCCACAATCAGCATTTGTCATCGGTACATCAATACCAAACATTAAAGTGTATACATTATATGTACATACATTGCCTACTATAAATACATTAGGGGTATAACTAAAAAACACATTTCATTTTTTCGGAAATGACGTAGCAGCAAAAGATGAACTTTTACTTGTATTAACTTAAAATAATAATACTGCTTTCTAAATCAAAAAAAAACTCCCCCACCAGTGCAGATGAAAATTTGATCACAGCTGTCTAAAAATGCAAAAAATTCAAGTTTTTGCATTTATAGTATGGGCAGGGTCACTTAACAAAATTTCAAAATTACCATGAGAGTTATTTTTGTAGCTTGATCTATCTATTTTAAGATTATGTTTTGTTTTTTAGTAAAAATGATGGGAAGAGTTGATCTTAACCATTTGCAATCATGTATATATTTGAGAGGTTAGGGGAGGAAGGGGGGATTTTAAATTTTTTTTTCATGTTTTTTAAATATAATACATTTTTGTAATCATACATTTTTTATTTAAAGAAAGACTATTTTATGGTTTTTATCCAAGATTTTTTATCGGTTGTTTTAAACTTTAAACAATGTTAAGCTACAACCATTAAGTTTGCTTCTCCATCCACATTTGTTTCTAAAAGTTTCAATGGGTTGTTGAGAGTGGGAAGAGGGGGAAGGAGTCAAAATGTGAATTGTGTGAAATGTTTTTAATTTTTTTGTAAATAAAAAAAATGTCAACAAGGAATTGTTAAAAAAAATTTAATTCTGAAAAAAGAATTGAAATTACATATAACACATTACACATAACCAATAACACTTGCTTATATAGAAAACTGTATTACAGAGGTTATTCTATGTGTTAATTTTCCAAACATTTTTACAATTAATATAGCTTTATGCCTATTTTTTTAAGGCTTAATGTATTGAAATAGGTTGTCTCATGGTATAAAAATTTACCATGCGCCCTTTATTAGGTGAAGAAAATACTGACTAACATATCAGATGTTAACTATATAATAGTAAAATGCTTATAAATTCAGTTCGAATTTAAATTGACTTAATAATATAGTAATTATATATTGATATTTTTATGATAAAAATATCAATATATAAATGTTTTTAGTTACAATATCTATAATGAATTCTTCAATTTTTAATATGACGTTTAGAGACAAGAATGTTGACTTAAAAAAGAATAGAAAAAATTTAAACAAACCCAAAACCATAAAGGTAAAAATCTGGTTTTAAAAGAGGAAAATTTATTTAATGAGAAAAAAAAAAAAAAAAAACTCATTATCTTGAAAGATAAAAAGTTTTAAAAAGTAGAAAAGATTTAAATGTTCTCAATAATCAGAAAGGATTGCATGTTCAAAAAACGCGAAAACAATTTTGCAAAATAGAAAGTGAAGTAAGAAAAAAATTTAAAGGTTATAAGAGTCCATTAGGAAACAAACAAAGGTTGTTTAGTAAAAAATTTGAGAAGACAATTAATTGTTTAGATACTTGCGATAATGGAGATAATAAGATAGATACATATAGTAAGATAATAAGATAGTATTTCCAGCCTTTTAGAAAATTTAAAAAATATATTGTTCCTATTTTTTCATGTCTGTAAAGTAATTACATAAATTAGCTCTTAAATTAGCTTAAACAGAAAAGTCTGCAACTAATTTTTCTTTGATTTGTTAAAAATGACATTACTTTAGACAGAATGGCTAAAGAACAAATCATCAAACTGGAACTAATTGCGGCTATGTGCTATGAGTATAAACTGCTATATATTATATAGTGACTTCCAGATTATAAAAGATTTTGAAAATATTACAGTGCAGAGCGTGCTTATCTTGGATAAAAACCATAAATAGTCTTTCTTTAAATAAAAAATGTATGATTACAAAAATGTTTTATGTTTAAAGTACATAAAAAAAAAAAAAAAGTTACCCCTCCTCCGCAACCTCTCAAATATACACATGATTGCAAATGGTTAAGATCAACTCTTCCCATCATTTTTACCAAAAAACAAAACATAATCTAAAAGTAGATAGATCAAGCTACAAAAATAACTCTCATGGTATTTTTGAAATTTTGTTAAGTGACCCTGCGCCTACAATAAAGGCAAAGACTTGAATTTTTTGCATTTTTAGACAGCTGTGACCAAATTTTCATCTGCACTGGTGGGGGAGTTTTTTTTCGATTTAGAAAAAAGTATTATCATTTAAAGTTAATACAAGTGAATAGTGGTTTTTAGTCATACCTCTAATATATATATATGTGTATATATATATATATATATATATATATATATATATATATATATATATATATATATATATATATATATATATATATATGTAGAGTTTTTCGGTCAGCTACAAAACATGCGCAACAACTTTTATTTAATTTAACTGACTTAATATAATATAAATTTCTTCTTTTTTTTCTCTTTATATGCTAATTATCATTTGTTATTGTTATTCAAAAAAATAAACAAGATAAATTGAAAGTTTGACAAAAGTAGAACTAAAAGATAGTCAGCTACGCAATGCGAAGAAAATCTTTTTTTTATTTAAATTTTGAATTCATTTTTCTCTTAAATTATCATTTATATTTTCATAAAAACCTTTTTTTCTTCAATAACAATTATTTCGTCCAAGTTTTATTTATAAAATTTTTTAAATATAATAATAATTACAGGTCAAAAAAAAAAGTTTTTTAAAAACTATAAAGTCAGCTATGCAACTATCAGTTACGCAACATGCTAATTTTCATTATAACTTAGATTAAAACATAAAACAAATTTTATTTAGAAATGATAAAAATTGTTTCTACAGTTTATAAAGGTCATTTTTAAGATACCTGGTCACTGCTAAATATCTAGACACTTAATGTAAATTTATAAGTTTTTATTCCTTTGTTATCATGCAATTTTCAGCAAAAACTTCTGGCCTACTACGCTTCCGTCTAAAACTTGAAAGTTATGTCTTTTACACAATTCTTTTATTTTCTTTTTTTTTTAAAAAAAGACACTTAAACCATGAGAGTTGTTTATTTCTAGGTTTTCTTTTTCATTCAGTAATATAACAGTCACTAGTGCAAGAAATTATATACTTTTCTGTTATTTTTTCTGGCAACACATTTTACAGTGGCTCCAATTCCATCCACAACTCCTTTTCCATGCATTCCAGCATAGAAATGCCAGAGGAATTTTAAATTTATGCTTTTCTAAAAATTTCATTGATGATAAAATATACTTATTTTTAAATTGAGATGTTACATTGTCATTAAAAATATGAACTTCTGTAATATCATCAGATAGAAGCTCTATAATTTTATTTATCTTTGGATTAACAGATAATTTTGTATGATTGCTTTATTTAATTTTAGCCTTAATTGAGTTTTTTTGAATCGCTGATTCTATATTTAATTTTAATATGGATGATTGACTGCTTTTGACATTACTATAAATAATAAACTTTGCGGGTATTTCTTTAACATGTGATAATGAAACTGCAATTGTTCCTTCTTTGTTAACCTTTTCTATGTTACTATACGATTTTACTAGAGGTTTCTGCCACTGATTCCATGAAATGTCAAACTCAAATTGTTCAAACTGAAGTAACAATTTATTAAAAAGACTATAAATGGTACATTCCTTGCAAATGACATTGAAAGATTGTTTTGCTGCTGTTTACAAATAAAGTTCAGAATCATAAAGTTTCCTGTTTTAATTGTAGAAAATACATATGAACCCTGCAAAAGTGATTCAAGAGCATAACGCAAATTTTCATGTAACATGCAAACACATACGCTATGAGGAATTGATGATACACATTAAACATAAACTGGTCTTAACTGACAAAATTTTGACAGGCCTAATTTAATATCTGTATGGTTTAGCTTAAACTTTTCGAAAGCATCTTTTAGCATATACATAACATGTTCACTACAGAAATATATTTTGCCGTTCTGGGGGAAATTCGACTTATTTCATTGTTGCAATAAAAAAAATTTAATAACCACAGAGTCTTTCTCTCTGAGATTATTTGTTGATCTTTAAATTGAGCAAGTTAATGGTTGAGTTTCATTGAGTAAACAACACAACAGTTCCTTCTTCTGAGCAGGAATTTTAGGAAAAAAACATTTCAATTTTTTCATATACTTTCCTTTAACTTACGCATTTGCAAATAATGAGTGTTTTGATTCTACAGATGAAGATATGTCTTTTTGCCGCAGTCGAGATTTTCTCAATCTTTCTAAACTTTTTGTTCTTTCAACTGCAATTTTTTGAAAATCTTTTTCCCATTTTTGTCTTTGAAAACTAGCATTTTTTTTAGCTTTGAATTTCTTTTCGTCATGATTTCTACTCATGTAATTATTTTGATTCAGTGCTTTTTTATTTTTTATCTTGTTGGCTGTAATAAAAAAAATTAAACTATAAATAAATTTTAATTACAAATACAAATAAATTTTAAAATAATTTTAAAATTCTATAATGTTTACACAATGTGCACCTCTTTTTTATTTTCATTAGATGCACAAGCAACTGGTTCTTGGAATGACTTCATACTTTTAAATTGACCATATGGCTATGTTTTAAAGTTTTAAATAATTTCTAATCAAATATAAATCTTTGAAGTTAAAAATATATTTGGCAAAATATTTTATTGCATTAAAAAAAAAAAGTTTTTTTTTTTAATGCATTTATAATTAGTTTTGGCAGTCAGCTATGTAACAGGAAGTTTAGTGGATTTTTTTAACTATTTGATACCAATTTTTTTTTTTTTTTTAAATTATAGCAAAACTTTAAAATGGCAAATTTGTTTAAGTAAGTAATTGACAAGGATTT